ATTTACGTCGAAAAATATAAAACGAAATCTCTGAAAAAAGAAAAAAAACAGCTTTTCGCGTCGGAATATTTTTGGAAGGTAATTAACAGCTTTAAATGTTCCTATGCAAAAAACTGGGATTATTGTATAAAAACAGACTAGATGCTAATTATTACATGTTCATACTTACATAACAAGCATAAGCAATCTCATTAAGATTAGAATATTGATAGTTACTAAATATGCATAATAAAAACTCATGTACATTTAATCCGTTGGGATTAATGCAAGAACCGGTTATTATCGCAATATCCGCCATTTCATCGAGAATAATTCTCAAACCGTGGTGAGCTCGTCGACGACATCTTTCACGACGTGACGAGCAATAAATCGACGTGGAAAAAAAGAAATGCTTTAGTAGGTTGATACGAAGTTGGTGAACCGGTTTCGGGCTGCATTTAATGCAGATGTGCCAGGACCCCCTACGAAATCTTGTAATGAAACGATTTAGACGCGGAATCTACACCTAAATCGAGTGCCGACGAGCTTTCTTTCGCGACCGGTAGAAATAAAGACTGATCCTCTCGTCCAAAAGAACGTCACGAGTCTTTTCAAATTCGTGCAGCGACATTGTTGACAGCTCTGTACAATCATAAGGGAAAGGTAATATCACACAACCCTCTAGACTTCAGCTGCCGACTCTGCCTCCTAATGGCTAGCTAAGATATCACCTCGCGTACAAACTAGGAATAAATTTAATGGTTACCAATGGACATTAAAAAAAGAAACAAATCTATTTTGTGTACTTGCCATTCGAATTAATTCTGATCTTTTTAAATTTACTATACGATCATCATATCATTATATTTGGATCAATATGATTAAAAAGCTCAATATGATTAAAAAAAATAAAAAATGAAAGAAATTTCATGGAAAACATCTAACATTAATAGATAACGTCGTGAAATACTGGGGGAGAAAAGTATTTAAATAAAACATTAATTATATTTTGGATCGCGAATATATTTAAACAAATCAACAGGATTAAATAAATCAAACAATTTTTCAAATTTTGAAACAATAATTAATTAATCTTATATCTTATAATCTTATATAAATTAAGTTCATTAAAAGGAAATAATATAAAATAAAAGACAATCAGCGGAATTTCAAGATTACAATATCGCCTAATTCCACTCGTCTGTCATATCCAAAAGTTTTGTCGAGTATTCGCAGAGAAGGACGAAATGATCGTTTGTGTTTCTGCCGGCGTAACAAATCGCGAGCCGCGGAATCGTTTTGTGGCGACAACGCAACTATTCCATTAAAATTCGCAGCGGTGGCGGCGGCGAACGATAACGACGTCGGAGGTATAGCCAGGCCGCACTCTGTCGCGGCGCGGTGTCGTCGTCGTCGTCGTCGTCGTCGTCGTCGTCGTCGTCGTCGTCGTCGTCGTCGTCGTCGTCGTCGTCGTCGTCGTCGTCGTCGTCGTCGTCGCCGTCGTCGTCGTCATCATCGGCGATGGCGCCGACTAAGCGCACGCAAAAGTTTCGTCGGTCGCGATGCGCGACGTGACACGTCGTGGCGCTGCTTCAACCGTCGGCGAGAACGGCGAGATTATATGCGGAATCCGTACCTCGACGATAAACGGGTTTCTATAGGCTCGTGCGAAATACCGGGTGGCTTGACAAGAGCAATTTATCATGCTCGATCTGTATTTGCATACGTCGTCGGAGAGCCCCGTCGCTCATGCCCGCCGCGACATCACATAGTCGAGTGCCTTTTGAAATTTGCGTGTTTGCGAATACGAAGCTGTTCTCTATATCTCTCTCATTCTCTTTCCCATTCCTCCCGCCTTTTCCGCTTGTCCCACCTTGGTACACACACGACGATCGCCCTCTGAACTCGACGAACCAACCCTCCCTCTTTCTCTCGCTCCGCAGCTCATCGCTTCAAACGTTCCCGACGAATGCCTATGCGAGCTTCTGTTCGAGACAAACGATGCGCGAGATATGAATTCGTGCACGGGACTTAACTGATCGTTTCGAGGGACTCGCCGATCTGCCGCGTTGGTAATCGCGGGGCTCCAGTTACCGGACGCTGAAAGAGGTCCATCTATATTCTATAGCGTCCGTCTGCGGTGCTGAGAGAACGTCCGACGACCCGTAAATTCAGTTACGCGTAGGTGCCGTATTTGATTCTCATCAGACGCGTTTAGCCGTTCCTCATTCGCACGGGTGAAGCGATGAACGAGCGATGAACAGACAGGCTAACTTGGGTAGATCATATCGGGACTATATTTCACATTTCCGTTTACACCCGAGAGATCTTAAGCCCCTTCTACCTTCTGGCCTACCTTCTGGCCTGTGACGTGCGACCAGAACGTCCAGTTTTCTCTCGGTCCAGAATGTACAAGAGCTCAAAGGCTTCAGAGTCACGCCTCTTTCCAAACGGCCGCCAGGCGCAATCCTCGATACAGATAAGTCATGTCCGTCATTTTTCAACACTCGTGTGATTCTCTTAGGCTCCCTCCCCCAGACTTCCCTCTTTCAACGGTCACACCGGCAATATCGGACGGGCGAACGCGCACGGTGACGATTTCTCATCGGACTTTTCCAGCGGCGCGAGTTTTATCTCGCGCTTCCACCCTTAATTTGATTAATCGACGAGGATCTTGACCCTCCACGCCGGCATTAATCACCGTCCGGTCGTATGCATACATGGCCGCGGCATTAGGAGCGCCACGCCGTGTCGGGAGACGCGGACGATTTCGCCATTTGTTAGAACCGCTTGTTTAGAAAGAAGCTTTACACACTCGACCGGCTCTTCCGCCTCGATGCGCGGATATTAATGGCGGATTAATTCGGCGGAGGTACGTCCTCGATGTTACGTGAGAGACTCGTTGGACCGACAAGTTGGATTCGCGATGTCTCCCGTCACCTGCCCGCGATCTTTTCTGTTGTTATGCCCAATGAGAGGAAGATCAATATTTTTTTTTAAATTGAAATTACAATAATTACATTTTACTTTCTTCCTCTTAGAGGCTCTTCCATTTTATAAAAAAATATGATCAATCGAAAAGAACATGAAAATCTTAAGGTGGAAATTTGAACAAATATTTATCCAAATAATAAAGCAAATAGTTCAAGTTTCATGAAATCATGATGCGTTACGAAATTATATTTTGGTATTAAAGAAAGGGACGAGAAAGAAAGAGAAAAGAAAGAAAGAGAACAAATTTTATTATGTTGATAAATATCTTTCTTAAAATTACATAGGCAATCCAATAACACTTGTATGATTTTTAATGAAAATACGAATTCGCTTTTATTCTTTTTTTTTACTTTTTTTATTTACTTTTATTTTTTAGTAGAAATTTAGTAGAAATTAATTAATAAAACGTATATTAACGTATATTATAATGGTTTAACTTATAATGTAATTCCTTATATTTTTATTTGCATCGAAAAATTTTATATGATCCGTTTTATATTAATACATACAGTGATTTCAGTGCAATACAATCTGCAAGAGCAGCAGACGGGCAAAAAACGGCCGATTAGAAAAGAGACTCATTCGCTATTGCGAGACGCTAAACGTTCGCCCTGATTTCGAGTCGGTGGCAGACCCCTGCTGCTGGAGGGTCGCAGGTCTTGATTTACTAGCTGTTTATACCCTTTCCAACCCCTGGGGCCTGCATTATAACCGTATTTATACTAATAGCCTCGCCCAGAGTTGCGCTAGGTTCATGCAGGTCTAGGTGTGATTTACTGACAATGTTGTCGCTATTAAACGCGATGGTAAGAAAAATAAAAAGCAACACAATAGCGTATGTACGCGGACTAAAAGGTAGCGACAATAACGTTCGCTATTACCTGTCAGCCACGTAAGATTATGACTTCCGTCTCAAAGAACATCGAAAGGAGGAAAAGGTTTTGGAAGTGTCGAAATTCAGATTCGAAAGCAGCTAGGTGTTGACAGAAATTAAATTACATCCGTTTAAATATCGTATATCATTGTCCGTAGAAAAAGAAAACTCGCAATCATCTAGGCAATAAACGTAAAACGAGGCTAATTCATATAAAAATATTTTTATGATTCTTCTTCAATACGCACGACGTAAAATCGACTTAAAATCGACCCTTATTTATCTCATCTAAATAATATCTGTGTCATGCATAATTAAAAATTAATTTATGATTGAAACTGTTGAGCGGCGTAGAAAATATAATCTTCTTTAATAAATTCGCGATGCTTTGTCAACAAGACGCGCGGTGAAAGATTAAGCTATTCCTCTACAGAATCGATAAATCAGAAAGTTCTACATGTCATCGTAGATATAGAGAGAATGGTCGAGCAGTACGAGCGATACGAGTGGATGGATGGAAGGAAGGAAGGAAGGAAGGAAGGAGAAAGGAGGAACCGTAGCGTAGGTATGGCTCCAGTAACAGGATGTAATTATGATCGGTGAGATACGTCACGCATAACCCCCATATTGACGTCCACAAATCACGCTGCACGGCCGGCCATGCGGTATCTCGCGCCACTCGGGGGACTACGATCCTCAAACTCAGACGGCCTAACGCGACACTAAATCCAGAATTATGTACGCCGCTGCGCGTGTAGACATCGACGTGGACGCGCGGGATCTCCCGAGGATTCGCCCTGTCAAACGTGGGAAATGTGACGCTCGCGAAATTAGCACTTAAGGCGCATTCGTGAGATACCATCACCTGCCCGACAAGACTGGAGTATGCGATAGTGCAGTGTGCAGCACATGCACGCAAACTGTACAACTATTTACCTTTCAAGATAGCATACAAGACGCAACCCTTTACATAGCATTGTTTTATGCTACTTGCGCTGTTTTAGATAAATACATAGGAAATTGTGGAATCATAATAGGATATACACATACGCATTAGATATACATATTTAATATTTTATTACAATAAATGAAATAAGAATGAATTTTATTGAATTAACAGCAGTGCTTATTCAACAAAATTGTACTTTCAAAATTAAGCTGTTTTCGACTTCCTATAAGAATGATAAAAGAAATTGTAAAAGAATAACAAGTTTACCATGCCATTAATAAGTATTATTGTAGAGAAGTATATTATCTTGGTATTGCAACTGGATATAAAACCTTGTGTAGAAATTACCACAATGAATGCAATATGTGTCTGTTTTAATAAAAGCAATATCAATACATATATATCGAAAAATTATATAGATTTAGGGCTTACCATTTGTAAAATAGTAACAAACTTCTTGATTAGAAGAAATCGTTGCATGCTCGATCCAAAAGTGCTCAGAAAATAATAGAAATACATTACAACATGTACAGAACAATTGAGCAACATTATAGTCATGAGAAAACCATAATTGAAGTAACTAAGTCCCAACCAATTACAGATAAATGTGGTAACATGATGGTAAATATGTAAAAATGAGATTTGGTGGTCTTTCTTCCTCAAAACAAAGATTACAGTTTCAGTGAAATCAAACAATTTAAGCATTAGTGTCCACCATAATATTTCAAACACCTGCAATAAAAAATTTAAATCTAATACGAAGAAGAACGCCAGCTTATCACGGTCAAAATTAGATGTTTTGATTAATACAATATATGTATATTCATATTAAATGAATTTTATTTCAAATAAGATTGAGGGCCGATAATTTTCGGACTTTCAATATAATCAATCTAAAACGCTATTAATCTCCCCCTAAATTAAATTAGAAAAACTGTAAGGAATTTATTACGAAAAATATTACAGTTTTTAAACTTTGACCGTGATAGACTGTTCTTCTTCATATTTGATCTATTGACATATACGTCATTTCAAGGTCTTAATGAATGATTAGTAATGATTAGTAATGTGTGAATGATGTCGATTTAATCTATTTAAATCTATTGTCATTTTGTTCGTCTCAATGTTTGCCAAGTTTGTCATATTTACTTTTCAAATTTATGTGTTTAATTTATCGATGTTTGTACGTATGTCGTATGAGTAACAATTAAAATGTACCTACTAATTTAAATTAGTAGGGCGAAGGCACCTATATCGTACCCCTTAATGTTAAACAAAATTGTAATAAAAATATTGAAGAGATCAGAATATTTCTGTACTTACATTAAACTTTGGTTCATTGACAATAAAACAAAACTATACTTTTACGAAAATAAACATTAAATTATTGTTTAAATTAAATTAAAAAAATAGCTTTCGGGATGATTTGGAGATCGAGTCGTTAAATTGTAGGAATCACCTGATTCTTAAATCGTACTTCTAATATAGTAAACAAACTGACATTGCTTATTGTCATTTTGACATTAAAATAGCATCTTCAACATCATTCAAAACGGTAAATAATGTCAGTTTGTTTACTGGGAAAATAAACAAAATTTTAAAACTCTAATTAATTTTAAAAAATTAATAAATTTATTTTTAATTTCAAACTGAATATACATATTTAAGTAGGTATAATAAAAACTTTTCTATTATAAAAACAGAAATTAGATTGACACAGAAATCATAAACACAGAAATTCTGTGTTTTTTAAACTTATTTAAAAATAATAAAACAAAATAAAAAGCAATACTTAAATTAATTTAAGCTACCATACTATATTTCAGAATATTAAAATCTCAGATATTTCAGAAAAAAATTAATTTTGGAAATAAAATCAATCACCGATTTTTTCGTCACAATGGAAAAGATTCAATAGAAAGACTCAATAGAAAAATTTAATAGAAAGTATAAAGTCAATAATTAATAAGTACTCACTTTCTGTGAATGCTTATTTAAATAGTTTTGGCAAATGTCAGGATTGTCACTACTTTCGTGCAACTACTTAGAGTACCTGAATCCAGTCCACTGTAGGACCTTTTTTATCATTATAGTAACCTCCATATATTGCTCGCATCATTTGCAAAAATCGTACAATATAAAGACCAAGTACGACAAGTACGATTTACCTAACTCCCTCTATTTTTGCAAATTTACCAATAACAACATAACTTACAAATATTTTGTTAATTTGATGCTATACTCGAAAAGAGTTTAAATATCATGAAGAATGATATATTGATTCAATTACCCATTTTGTACTGATAACACCTTAAGTAAATTGTATCAAAACTTAGATCAGACATCGAACAAAATCAATTTTGAATGTCACTCATAAACAAACGACTCGAAAACAAAAAATTCTTAACCCATATTACCACCGTCACATCAGTGTCATTATCTTTAAAAAAAATGTTTCATTTTAGAAAATACAATAGAGGTACAATAGAGATTTAACCGTCAGTACGACTTAGTCAACTTTATCCTATATTTAAACTGTTTCTTATTTTTTGAAATTTAAAAGTTAAATATACCTTTTCACTATTGTCATCGCAAAGTTCATCGAGTGAATCGCAAAATCTCCATATAGCAGTAATTGGTTTACCATATGTCATCATATTAAACACTAACCAAGCATTTGTAATAATTTGAAAAAAATTGTAACACTGTATAAACGTTTTCAACGAATACGGTTGTCTATTTTTCATGAGTTGTGGACCAGCAATGTAAACGATATAAAGATAAACTATAGATATAAAAAATACTGGTATCGGCGCAGATATTAATAACCATTTTGTCTTTTGTGTATCTGTGAAATCTATATAATGGAAGTTAACATAATTTGAGAAAAAATATTTTATAATATCACTTCTAAAAAAATTTAAAGATTTAAAATGTCTTCGACATATATATATATATACATATATACATTTAGAACTTACTTGCCATTTCCGAAATATTATAATTAGTTTCCAACTGAGCCATAATTTCGCTTCAAAGAGTTTCTCTTACATATGTTCGAATAAAACTAAGCGGTAGCAAAGAAAAATCGCAACTTTAAAATCTTAACATTTTTACATATTTATATATACATCATTTGTTTCATAATGCATATTTATAATGTATTTTTTACCAATAACTAATATATTTACCATAAATATAGTTTTTATAATACAAGAATATTTGCATAAATATAGTTCCTGTATTAAATAAATAAAAAAAAATTAAATAGCAAAGAAAAACCGCAACTTTAAAATTCTAACATTTTTACATACTTATATAAACATCATTTGTTTCGTAATGCAATGTACAAAAAAGCATTTAAAAATTTTTTTATTCCAAACGATTATGATTATAATATTATTATACAAAAACTATATTTACCATAATATAAAAATATATTATGGTAAAAATACATCATGAATATATATTTTGATCTCACAGACTTTATGCAACAAAAAATCAAATATTCAAATATTCAAATAAAAAGGGAGATTTAAGTTTAAAATCTTCAATTCTTCGTACTATTTATATTGTAGTAGCTTGTAATGGATAATTCATGCTTATTTAATAATCAAGCAAATATTAGAAATTAGAACAAAAGCTAGCCTTGGTCTTCTTTGTAATTCACACGTCATTTTCTCTATCGTCTCATCGCGCAACACTATTCAGAACGCAATTTGATTTGTCTGTGTTCGCAGATGCGAGCGGTTGAGTCGTCGCGAATAATTGCATTCGCGTGATGCGTCGATATAGCGCGAATGTGTCTCGCTGACCGTAGGCACCACGAAACATCCGGAGGCTGTCCGGGACTTCCGCCTCGCCGGATGTACTCGCCACGGCTTCACTCGCCCCTCCATTCTCTTCATTCACCCCCTACTCCAGATCCCTTTAAACTCCCTTCGATAATGCTGCGTTCCTATGTGGCCCCGACCATTAACTACGATATAGCGGACGATCACGTGACGTAACCGTGGGTAACATCAAAGCCAAAGGCATAGTTGCACCCTAGGGACGGCCTATGACGTTAGCCTATCTCGCTGCAGCTCGCTGCCTGCAACTGCACCGCCTCGAGGCGTCGTCAACGTTACCATCAGTCGTTCCGGTGCACGGTAGCTAGGAATTTCGGCTTTAATGCTTAACCACTTTCCAGATTGTCGAGGCTAACATGTGTGCGTAGTTGCCGTAGCTGCAAATTATTCAGTCAACACGTATAATACAAGTCGCTCCGTACAAGAAACTTGCTTTTGCACGAAAGATACAATTAACGATAGTTATTGATCATTAAAGGCAAAATTAATATTCATAACAATTAATATTCATGATCAATCAACGGATAATATTTCCGAATAGAACAGATAAATATATTAAGGCTGCTACATTTGCAATTCTGCTTGAAATTGAAAAATATTATATTATGTAAATATTACACGATGTATGTCACGAACTAACATCAATGTACAAGCGGAAACCAAAAAGTCTCTAACCAAAAAGTACAATTGATATATATTCCGGAACCTACAATCAGACATCCGCACGAAGGAAGTAGCAGGAATAGAAATATTGTCTTACATGCTACTTATATGCTCCACGCTAGCTTCCTTCTTTCCACCCCTTCCTGCCTTCATTGCGAATGACGAAAAAGTTTTACGGTATTTAAGCAAGTTGTGCATAAAATAGTAATGAACCATCAACCATATGTCGCCTACTACACAATGTAAAACCGTCCTATGGGACTTGATAATCGCTCTCATCTCAATTTGTTCCGTTCTGATTGTTCACGGGACTGACCTGGGATAATCGTTACTTATATGGTTCACTTGCTCTACATATTGTATGTCTATAACGATACATTATTTTCTTATTGTTAAGGCTTCAAGTAAATGGAGAAGAAATACTTCAGAATCGAAATACTTCAGAATCTTATACTTTCAATTTTACGTAACAATTTTTTTTTTTTTATAATAATCAAACAAAATGAAAATTTATAATTTACATTTTTGCTTCTCAATCAGTTATATTTGGAAAAAGTTTAAAATAATTTTTTTAGTTTTTTGGAAAAAAAAAATAGAAATATAACTCTATTTATAATAATAATATATTATGTATAAGTAAAGCTATATATATAATGAAGTGTTTGTGTCTGCACTGTTTTATGCAAGTATAATCATTAATAGAGAAGAGCTTGAAGAGACAGAGAATTCTACAAGTGCAAAGAAGCGAGGAAAAATAGGGAACATGCAGGAAAGGAGGAAGCAGTATAGGAGCACGAGCGAACGTTTTCGCGACAATAGACAGGATGTGCGAAGGGTTACCATTGCAAATCACAATACCGACCGCAAAACGCGAATGACAGGTTGAATAGACGTGGCTAGAGAAGCGAGTCCTGACAGTAACCTATTATTACCGGGATCTCTTTTATACAGGCTATTCTGTGGGAAAACTACGCTCCCTAAAGACGGTTTTTAATTCATCGATGGAATAGAAATACCGCATTCTTGTCTCGCAGATTTTTATTTTTTATTTTTTTTTTTTAGATTCCATACATTTGATAAATACAAATATGCAATA